CAGGATTCCACCCCTTATCCTACCCCCCCCCCGCTCCCTGTCCCCTGACTGCCCTCCTGACCCCTATCCACATCCCCGCCCCCTGAGAGGCCCCCTGGAACTCCCACTCCCAACCCTCCCTGTTCCCCATCCCCTGACCGCCCCCCCCCACGAACCTCCACACCATCCAACCACCCCCTCCTCCCTGACTGCCCCCCAGGACCCTCCACTCCCTTACCCAGCCCCCCCCCACCCGCTTATCAGCAGCAGGAGCTCGCAGCCGCGACACCTGGCCAGAGCCAGCTGCGCTCCCCACGCTGCACAGCGGGGGAGGGGCCGGGGACTAGGCTCCTCGGCCGGGAGCTATGGGGCCGGGCAGGACAGTCCCGCGGGCCGTGGTTTGCCCACGTCTGCTCTAAGCCATGAATCCTAAAATCAAAAGCAGGGTCCGTTTTGGCTTTCACTTGCAAACCAAAACAAGAGGATTGAATTTTTCCAAAAACCAAAACCACCCTGGCTTGTCCCATTGTTACACATCTGATCTGGAAATCTAATGACTGAAGGGATCTATATGTAATAATCATCCATTCAAAAGGGCAGGCGGTGAGGGAGTATCTAAACCAATCCCAGCAACAAGATTCAACTGTGCCTAGTTTGGCTGTTCTCTGAAACATAGCATATTTTCTTAAAGAGCTAAAACCACATTTGAGATATTAATACTTGCAGTAAAAATGAGAAACCCAACCCACTTTTAAAATTAAATTAGAACTGAGTAGCTTACAGTACAATGCAATGCAGAGAAGATGCATTTAAATATTTGTTCTTTATAGTTAGTTGGATTTTGTACAGTTTGCCTTGTAAGCAAATATTGATCTAGCGTGGTACTTATTTTGTATTGTAGGTTAGTAAGTACTACTGATGAGTATCTTCAAATAGAGACAGGTGAAGGAGTTCCAGGTTAGACGAGTGCTGGCAAACAAACAGAGCTAATTAAGTATACTATTTTGTTTGACTCAGTTGTATATCTATGGCTGAATCAAGAGAACACACTTTGTACTTAATAGAAGAGACATAAAGATTGAAACAATGTAATTAGCTTTCACGTTAATAACACAATTTAATGGGTGTTTATCGTCCAAAGAATGGTGTTTGGAAAAACTTCCCCATATATTTTCAGTGATTAAATTGCTGCCTGGAGTTTTGTTGGAAAAGCATGTATTTGCTTACTGAATAAAGAATCTCTTTGTGTACAGTAGTGGGTTTTTTTAGACATACTCATTTTCTATTTGATAAACTATTAATGAAAATCCATGGTCCAAGGAATACTTGGGAAATACCTTTTCTGTTTTCTCCACATGATACAAAAATGATTCTATATTATACACTATATGTCTCCAGTTGTTTGGGATTTGAATCTCTGATTCAAGTTCTTGATAGTAATGGACAGCTTTAAAATATGGTTTTGATAAGGATCTAACTTTTTGGATCATAGCCCAGAACTTACCCAAATTATCCAGATAGTTGAGGTCCATCTCCTTGGTATCTGGAACCCCTTTTTTCTACCACTACCACCCATCCATCTGTAATATCTTTCTGCTTGAGGGAAAGGACCAATGGTTTGCAATTCCTGTCTATGAAGTCTTGTACTTCTTCAGGAGGAGGCCAGGGGCATGCTACCACCAAAACACTGGATCTTATTTACAGGTGGCCTACTTTCCTATCAATCCAATTCTGGTCTTTCTATCACCTCTATCTCACAGCCTTGGTGTCTGTCTTCCTGTGAAAAATATCTCTGGTGGCTGGGTACAGGTCATAGTAAAGGTTAGACCACAGTGGATGGGTCAACTGTCTTTGAGCCCCTCATGCCATAAACAGCGTCACTAGATGTGACCAAGAGGCGGAAAGGAACCATTAACAGAACTAGTACAAGCCAAATTTGCCTCTAATTGTCTTAAGCCATCAGAAGCCAAAAAAAAATCAGATAAATGCTGATATTCTGTAGAAACCGTATTACTTTATGAAGGGTTTGCAGCCTGCAACATTTGGCGTCATTGACAAATGTTCCTCTCCTGCCTTTAAGAGGCAAAAGGTTTAAACAGAAATGCCCTGAAACTACTCAGGTCCTTCACCTCAGACCAAACCCAAATACTTGTTATGGGCAAGTGAAGTGTTCCTCCACCTCCAAAGCCCTCACCTGAGAAGTCCCCCAAGGCTCAATCTTCTTCCTTATGTTATTCAGCATCTACGTAAAGCAGTCAGCAGAGCCATTGAGACAACACAGGCTGAAATGACAGCAGCACACGGACAACGCCCAGCTCTGCGCCTCCTTTATGTTCAGCATAAACAGCACTATCTCCCAGCTTTCTCAGCCGCTAGCCAGAGTCAGCACTTGGATGAAGATCAGCTGGCTAAAACTCCATCCTCCCACCATCAAGGGCATATGTCCTCCGATTTTTAAGTCAGGCTGCCACCTTCCTTCCCGTTTGGTGTTAATCGATGCCAGAAATGCCCATTTCTCTCTGCCTTCAGCTGGCCCCCTAAAGATTGTGTCCCCATTCTAATGGTCACAGCCCTGGCTCTGGTATTGCATGCATTTATATCCTGCAGGCTTGGTTATTGCAGTTCATAACTAGAAATGAAGCCATTCACCTAGAAATAGTTCTAACTGGTACAAAACACAAACACAAAACACCATCCAAGTGCTCCAGTCTCAGGACTGGCTCCTCATTAAATACAGAAGCTAGTTCGTGGTCTTTGTCCTAGTGCTCAAAGCCAACCATGGGATTGGCCCCTAATTATGTGGTGGATCATGTCTCTCTCCATGACTGATACCCGCCCATGACAGCTACATTCTACTGGAATCATAAACTTGTCAACTGTTAGACTTGTGAGCATAGTAGAAAGAATGTTATGGCGGTGGGGCCTACATTATGGAATTCCTTATCCAGAAAGAGAAGAATGACCAGTAACCTTACCATGTTCAGAACTAACTGCAAAACTTCTCTTCAAATTGACTTTCCCTCCGTAAGCACCTCACACAGAAACCACACATACAATTCCAACAATCTAGCCATACAATTTATTCTGATATTTTGGGTAGGGAGAGAGAGAGAGAGAGAGAGAGAGAGGTGTTGATGTTGATGTTTCTTAATTCTTGGGAGATTCTCCTACTCCGGTCATGGGTGCCATGTAATAATTTAGAATAAGATTTTCAACTACCTTATTTGTGGATGCAGACAGTTAAAAGTAAAGGTTTGTGTAGGATATATTTTAGGGAAAATCTTGATCCCATTGCAGTCTGGGGAGGGGGGGGAGGAGCGGGCGTACCCTGTTGTCTTTAGCAGAATCAGATTTTAGCCCTAATAAGGAAAAACTGATACTGCAAGGGCATTTTGCATTATAGTGGTCTGGTTTCTGAATTTCTGGATGTCATAAAGTATTAGCTACTGTAGCTGGCTCAAATATTTGTGAAGTTATTACTTAGGTGCCTACAGGTTTATATCTTTTTAAAAACACAGTGGTGAAGATAAAGGTGCAGAAAATACATTAATGGCTATATTAACTTAAATATAAAAGATCTATGCATTTCTATAACTACATTATATATTTTGTAAAATGTTAGTACATAAGTAAGTGACAGTTAATGCTAAGATTATATATTTATGTATTAGTAGTGTCCCTCCAAGGCTTTATAGACAATAAATGTGTCAAATTAATTATAGTTTTCAACTATATCTGCTGGTATTTCACTAATTTGGTGTGCTTAAGTAACAGTGCCTGACACTGTGTTTCAGGGATTTACACAGAAATTTTTGGTAGATTGTGCTTCTTCATTCATTTTTATTGAATATATCTGCAGTGATTCTTATTCATTTAAATTACTTATTTCCTTTGGTTTTTATCGTGTTTAAAATTACTCTTCTTCTGCAGCATTTGTCCACACATTGATTCTATAAAAAGTGTCTTCTAGTAAATGTAAAACTAATTTATTTCTGGAGATCCTCTGCTGTACAAAGCTTTGGGAAAATAAATAGAATCTGGATTGTGATGTAGAGGGGGGTAGAACCAAAATTATGCTGAATGGGGTGGGTTATTAAGAATGGTTTTATATGCAATACATTTTCCTTTCTTTAAATTATTTCCCTGAAAAACTCTTCACATCTGTAATATGGAAGTATCTGCTTTGATACACTACTCCCCCTCCCCTCAACACACACACACATTGATATATGACCAGACAATCTAAATAACTTCTGGGGTTTTTTTTTTATTTAGAGAGGAAGCACGGTCCAGTGGTTCAGGCAACAGCCTAGGACTTGGCAAACCTGCGTTCAGTTCTGTGCTCTGCCGCAGACTTACTGTGTGTCCTTGGGCAAGTCACTTAGCCTCTCTGTACCCCAGTTTAAGGGTGCTGTGAGGATAAATACACTAAAAGATTGTGAAATGCTTTGAGATCTGCTGATGAAAACCACTATGAGTTATATAAGTAGTAGTAGTATTTTATTATTATATTGCCATAATCTTCACAGGAATCTACGAGGTTATAAAACGAGGAAATAATTTTCCCACCTGTTGATTGCTATGGGCCCGATGCTGCATCCATTCAAGCCAATGGGCACTTTAATATTGACTTCAGCAAGTGCAGGAACAGGGCCTGCATATTGCTCTTTAATCTGCAAAGACGTCTAATTGGCATTTTAAAAATAAATGACATTTATGAAAAAGTTAGATGCATAAGGAATGCAGGATACAGCCCAAAACTCCTTGGAAATCAATGTGGGTTTTGGTGTGCAAGGCATTGTTGACCCTGTTATGCTCAGCAAGAACTGTACTGTGTTTTGAGGTTTTCTCAATAAGAAATCTTTAAAAATATTTTGGCTTTGTAGGAAATGGCTTGTCAACAAAGACTCTGAAAGCGGTTACATTTGCTATGGGAATTTAAAGGAGCGAGCCAAGCCTCCTCCTCTTTGTTTCTGAATTATATTTTTTGTAACTCTAGTAATTTCCTCTCGTATTTGCAGACAGCTTCAGCAACAGCAAGCCGAGCTTGAAGTACATCAGAGAGATGGGTTGTCCTCCTATGACTTATCTCAGGTGATATCTCTGAATGGGTGTTGTTGTTGTTTTTATACTGGTGTCTCTGATCTTTTAAACATAAAGTGATTAAGCATCTAAACTAAACAAAAAGACCCTGTGACTATACTTGAGCTCATTGTGTCAAATATGGGAGAGGGGGATTACATTCTTTCTTTGTTTATGTCAACAACAGGTACCTGTTCCAAATATACCAACTAACGTTCATGAGGGTGGAAAGCCAGTGGAGAAGCCAGACACTATCTTCTCCCAGGAGCAGAATCCTAGGTTTGCTGAGATGTTTGCAGGAATAACTGCTTGTAAGTGAGAGCCTCTGGTATTTAATTTTTAATACTGTCTTTGTAAGCTGTAGTCATGTCCTTAAGTGCTATTACATAATATGCAAGCCCCTTTGTTTTCAGTTTAAACCGATTTATACAGAAAAATTCCCGGGATTTACAAAAAGTATTTTTCCGTTTTTTCTGATTTTTCACCCTACTTTTCTATCATTCAAATATATTTTTAAAAAACCCGTTGTTTGATTAGGAAAACACAATCCATTGCATGAGATATATGTATTATGATAATACATTAGTCTGTGTGTGTATATGCAAAGCTGCCTGTTAAAGGAAGGCTATGTATTAGTCTACAAGATACACACAATAAACAAACAGGCATGCACGCAAGCTCTGAAGTACGTGCGCATCTGAACATACTGATGAATCTCACGCCCACCACATACACATTCCAAGCTGTTAGCAGATAACGGTTTAAAGGTTTGACACACTACAATGGGAAGAAAACACAAATCTCTACGTTTCAGAACACAAAGTATTCAAAAGTTTTAAAAAGACAAAAGCAGGAGAAAAGGATGAAGCTAAGTGTATGCGCTACGAACGGTGCGGCCCAAATATTAAATGTAAATATTTATAGGTGAATAGTTCGAAGTCTACAGCAGTAAACTATTTATTCAAATGAAAAGTTTTATTTGGAGATTAGAGATATATTGTTTTCTTAAACTCAGAGTGGCATTGTGTTTTGAGTTCTGTTTTAGTTCTGCAGAAAACCACACTGATGAACAGAATTCCCTGTCTTTCCATCCACAAAAATAATAAATCCAGACATTTACCCAGAAATATTAATAACAGTTTTTTGCACTGATTTTCACCTGTTTTTGTTGTGGTGGTAATAAACACGGATAAATTCCCAGGGAAAATTAAATTAAATAAAAACTGAAAACGAAGGACCCTAATAATATGAAACTGTATTGAAAGAACAAAAAAAAGCATTGTGGCAGAGAAGTCACTAGGCAAGTGAGTCTCAAAGAACGATGCATAGAATTTGTTGGAAATAGATATTTTCCCCAAAAAGGAAGCTGAATGAAACTCAGGTTGGAGGACAGGCTGATATGCTGTCCAGCACCACTTAGAAGCCACTTTCGGTTCTCACTTAGTAGCCACATCTTTCCCGTGCAATTTTGAACAGTAGCCGTCCTTTTTTCAGAGGCACACTTCTACAATGCAACTCATAGAAGGATGTAAACACATTTAATAGATCTTCCAGCTTCTAAAGTTGGAAGTAACTTTCTTTCTCAGACAGTATATGTCAGTGTGGCTCATTGAGACGGATTGGAGTAGCAATGCTATCAAGACTGTGTAAGATTGGCTTACAATTTAAAAAAAATAATCTATTTTTGTAGATGTTAGGTGTAATATTTTTCCTTGTTTATTTTTTAATTGTTCGCTGTTCTTAACCTTCCCCACTTCCCCCAGAGTGAAGAAGTTTTGATTTATTTAAAACAAACATAACGGGCAAGTGTCTTGCAGTGAGGGAGGAAATAACCCATTGTGTTTAACTACAGGGGTATAAGGAGATGACCTCACTGCATGGGTTTCTTATGTACAGCTTGACCTTTTCAAACTGTGAAGGCACTGTAACTTCAATATAGACTTGATGTTCTGTCTCTTTGTTGCTGAGACTTCTGCTATTCCTGTTCATCCTTGTCTGTTTACTCTTACAATGAAGTCAGTGTCTGAGGCCATAACGGGGTCTGCTGGAAGGTAGCAAGACTCCAACCCTAAACACTGGAACAATGTTTTCCAAGCGAGAACATCTTGCTTTCTGGCTGCTTTATTGGCTAATATTCAAACAGCTCTGAACTGTTTGTGTGACTAGGTCAGGGTTAAGGGTCTAGCAAGCTGTGAGGTGAGCTAAGAAGTTGTGTTCTTGGAAATGCCATTTCACTTTTCATTTTTATCAATTTACAAGCTGTGCTTTTTTTTGGGTGTGCTCCCTATGTGAGTATCTCATGGGAACTGTGATCAAGGACTCTTTTAATGATAAAAAGGAATGGTTCTCGGTTAGAGATATGCTAAAGTGTCCAAAAACAATATTGACAAATGTGCATGCTGCTTGCAGACACTTGCTTTGTACTGATACTAGGCCTCTTTCTCCAGTTTGACTTATAAAAATAGTTTAGGGCTGACAAACACAGGATTGATGTAGTGGGACAGATGCAGGGGACCCATCAGCTGCATGTTTTATTAAAATAAAAGACCTCATGCTTTACCCGTCCATGCCTTTTGAGCAGCAGCCATTTTGAGATACAGAACTGTTTAATGCAGTGCCACCATTGGTCACTGGTGAGCTTTGGGGCAAGTTGGACAATTTACCCACTCAGTGGAGTGAAGCAGGGAGAGGACTGGGGGGGGGGCACCAGAGCCCATCCCGTCCCTGCCTCCCCCTACCTGAGCTTCCCTCCTGCTTCCTGTGGGAAGCTCCACTGTCCAGGCTACTCTACTCCAGACTCTCAGCTGCTTTGGCCCTTTCTCCACTGCCCAGTCCCAGTTGCAGCATCCCAGCTCCCTCTGTGCTGACCTGCCACGGAGCCGCCCCCACCGGTCCCAGCACCAGTGGGGGGTGGGGTGGGGAGAGATCGCATTTCTGCTAGGAGGGGAGTGGAAGGGAGGGAGAGGTCCCAGCCAATCCTGGCCTCTCCAGTGGGAGGAGTAAGGGGTCATGGCAGGATCTCTTCCTCCCCCCACCCCCTGGAGAGGCTGGGACTAGGTGAGACCTCTCTCCCTTTGCTCCCATTATGGCCAAGGGGGGCCTCCCTCTCCTCCCCCCACCCCCATCCATTGTGCCCCTGGAGTCTGTGTCCGTGGCTGGCCAGAAGTGTGAGGTGTAGAGTGCCCTAATGTGTTGCGCTCAACTGCCCCATGTAAACCTTGCTGGTGTGCTCTAAAAGGTACCTAGTTTACCGGCAGGGTCTATATGGCGCAGGTAGAGCCCAGCACTTCAGAGCACTCTGTGGTTGCTTTGTTGCCTGGGTGGTAAATCCAGCACCACAAACCCCACAGGAAACTGCTGCTGCCTCACCTCCTGCCAGACCTTGACTACACAGGCTGCACATGTGCCACAGAGGCAAAGGAGAAAAATGCCCTGCTGCTAAATCTACATTACGAACACAGCAAATCTATAGCAGGCTGCCGTAGATTTGCTGTGTTTGTGATTTGGATTTAGTCTCTCTCCCTTTCTCTCTCTCTCTCTCACTCACACATTATATATTAAACAAACAAGATGTGTTGGCTTCCCTACATTGGTGGGGCAGTGTCCCCAATGCCCTGCCGCTGTGTGCTACGCCTCTGGCAGTCTGGGTATTGCAGGAGTCAAAGAGGAGGATGTTGGTTCTGGTTGGGGAAAAGTAAATGAGTAACTAGTGAGGGTATGGGGATAGAACAGGGGTGGGCAAACTACGGCCCGGGGGCCACATCCGGCCCTTCAGACGTTTTAATCCGGCCCTCGAGCTCCTGCCGGGGAGTGGGGTCCAGGGCTTGCCCCGCTCTGGCACTCCAGCCGAGGGCTTGCCCCGCTCCGTGTGTGCTGTGGCTCTGCGCAGCTCCCGGAAGCAGCGGCATGTCCCCCCTCCGGCTGCTATGCATAGGATCAGCCAAGGGGCTCCGCGGCTCCCATTGAAATCATTGCCAATGGGAGCTGCAGGGGTGGCACCTGCGGACGGGGCAGGGTTCCGAGCTGCCTGGCTGCGCCTCTGCATAGGAGCCGGAGGGGGGACATGCTGCTGCTTCTGGGAGCTGCTTGAGCTAAGTGCCACCTGGAGCCTGGATCCCTGACCCCCTCCCACACCTCAAGCCCCTGCCCTTGCCCTGATCCCCCTCCTGCCCTCCAAACCCCTCCGTCCCATCCCAGAGCACCCTCCCTTGCAAACCCTTATCCCCAGCCCCACCCTAGAGCCTGTACCCCCAGCCAGAGCCCTCACCCCCCTCCACACTCCTGCCCCAGCCCGGAGCCCCCTCCCGCATCCTGAACTCCTCATTTCTGGCCCCACCCTAGAACCTGCACCTCCAGCCGGAGCCCGCAGCCCCTCCCACACCCCAACCCCCAATTTCAGGAGCGTTCATGGCCCGCCATACAATTTCCATACCCAGATGTGGCCCTCGGGCCAAAAAGTTTGCCCACCCCTGGGATAGAAGGTAGGGGATTTTGAGCCTAGCAGACTTCAGGGCACCTGGTAAAATACCAGTGGACAGCAAGGATGTGTTTATTGCTGTGCTATCAGGGAAGAGCTGAGGCAGAGGGGAAAAAGGCAAGAAGTGGAGGGCTGGATTCTGAGGTGTGACTAGAGAACTCAGCAGAGCTCAGGAGGGAGCAATTGCTTTTTAAACCTCTCCCAGTCCTCAGTAGCTCAGCACCTGGAAGCTACTTTTAACTGCATCATCTGCCAGTGGCCCCCAGAAGCTGTTTTGGCAGCTGGTGATAGCAGGAGCATAGGGCTACCTCGGCCATCCCCTGTGCCATTCTCTCTTGTGCAATTCTGTGACACCTGAGGAGTTCCCCTTCAGATAGGGAATCCTCCAGTTGGCTGAGGTCAGCCAGTTCTAGAGTATCTAGAGCAGCTTCATGTCGCAGAGCTGCTGTAGCACATCCAGGGAGCCATCTGACCAACTCTTTCTAAACACGGAGAGGATGATCACCAAGGGAGGATCAAGTGAAGTCAGAGGAAAAGGAGGGGTGTGCCTGGTTTATAGAGCTGTCGGAGGTGTGTGGCAGCAGAGAGTCATGAAGAGATCAGCAGTTTTTTGAACTTGAAGGTGATGAGGGAAGATAGGACGTGGAGGAGGAAAGGTGGAGCAGGGCCTTTACGTTGTTAAAGGGGAATGGAGGGTTGCCAGAAGTGTTGGCAGTTGTAGCTGTATAAACAAGCATTGCAGAAGGGAGGTTCTATAGTTTACTGAGATTTTCAGTTCTCTTAGTGGATTCTCAGAGCAGAGACCTGCCATTCCGTCTCAAAGTACCAGCCGAGATAGTTAGCAAAAGGTAAATTCAAAGTTGATTCATGCTGTATCCCAGTCATGGTACTATTAAGAAATCTACTGGTGAGTGTATTTTAGAGGGCTGCCTCTGTGTTGACCTGCAGAGGATATGAGTTGTTACATCTCCCTGCAATGGGAGGATATTTTTTAGCTCAAGCTGTAGCAGCTCATGCCTTTAGTTGTGGAGGTCCCTGGTTCAATCCCTGGTGTGTCAGCTGTCAGATTACACAAGAGAGAACTTCCTATTAAAAATATGAATGGCCATGTTTGCCCTGCGTTGTTTTAGCAAATGAGGAGACTGATCACAAGAGTAAATGTGTTTATTACAGTGTAAGAACAGAATATAAAAGTCAGTGGCATCTCTGTATGCATCTCATGTACAGTGCCTTTGTATGATAATTCCATTGGGACACAGCTTAGTTCAGGGGTCAGCAACCTTTCAAAAGTGGTGTGCCGAGTCTTCATTTATTCACTCTCATTTAAGGTTTCGTGTGCCAGTCATACATTTTTAACGTTTTTAGAAGGTCTCTTTCTATAAGTCTAGACTATATAACTAAACTATTGTTGTATGTACAGTAAATAAGGTTATTAAAATGTTTAAGAAGCTTCATTTAAAATTAAATTAAAATGCAGAGCCTCCCGGACCGGTGGCCAGGACCCGGGCAGTGTGAGTGCCACTGAAAATCAGCTCGCGTGCCGCCTTTGGCACGCGTGCCATAGGTTGCCTACCCCTGGCCTAGTTCATGGCCTGCTCAAGCCAGTTTGTGGTCAGAGTAAAGAACGTAAGCTTCACTGTGTCCCAGAGAGATTCAGTTTTACCTTAAATTACTGCTTACATAGCTGATCTGCAGACCTCACAGAGACAAAATTCCTACTGAGTACAGTGGGATTAATCTGTATTTAAGGGGCTGCAGATCAGCCTGATTTGTGAGCAAAATTCCACCATGCCTGGAAGAACCAGGACTATAACTCCAGCTACTGCTGAGGGGAGTAGATTGTAAGCTGTATGGGGAAGGTACAGCTTTTTGTTCTGTTTGTACAGTGCCGAACACAGGTTAGTCTTAGCTGCTTCAGCAATACAAATAAGTAATACTGTATTAACAACAATAGTAGTGTTGTCTCATACCCGGCAGATTATCTCAAAACTGTGCACCCTGCTATAAAAAATTGAGGAAGTCTTTTCTTTAGAAGGCTGTTTTTAAAAAAAATAATAATAATAAAAATAGTTCTCCCATGCAAGAAATAAGCCTCCAGTCGTTGATAATACAGATTTGTTAGCTCTGCAAGATAGGACCAGACTTTTCAATGCTGATATAGCCTCAGACCAAAGAAATATCTGTTCTGTACATCCAGAAGGATATAGTCCAGGGATCGGCAGCCTTTGGCACACAGCCCATCAGGGAAAGCCCTGGCAGGCCGAGCTGGTTTGTTTACCTGCTGTGTCCGCAGGTTCGGCCAATCGCAGTTCCCACTGGCCATGATTCGCCGTTCCAGGCCAATGGGGGCTGCTGGAAGGGCGGCCAGCACATCCCTCAGCCCACACCGCTTCCCGCAGCCCCCATTGGCCTGGGACGGCAGACCGCGGCCAGTGGGAGCGGCGATCGGCCGAACCTGTGGACACTGCAGGTAAACAAACTGGCCCAGCTCGCCAGCAGATTTCCCTGACGGGCCGTGTGCCAAAGGTTGCCGATCCCTGATATAGTCTCTTCTTAAGGCAAATGTGTAACCTCCATTAACATTAATTCAGTCTCTTCTGGAAAAGACCTATAGAATTAATAGAAAATGGTTATTTTTCTGTAGAATTTTTAAGCCAACCTATTGCATTCTGTAGCGGAGAGAGTTCACTATTACATCCTATGGATTGATTTAAAAATTCTATAGAAATCACCTTTTGACCCTTGTTTAATTTCCATACAGCCTTATTGGTTTCATCCATACTGTGTTCCATAGGACCTTCCCATAAGGGATTAAAAAGGAGAATGTTACTCACACCATGTAGTTTGTATACTTGTTATTTTCTGGTGAACAAATTGTTAATTTATTACTTCCTCTCCTAAGATTTTCTTTGATTGTTTTTTATAGCAGATAAAAAAATGATGGCCTCTGCGTCCCCAGCGGGAAACCAACAGCTTTATTCTCAGGGGAGCCCATTCCAGCCAGGACATTCAGGAAAGGCTTTCAGGTACAGTACCCGCGCCAGCACCAATAACTTCCGTACACAAAAGGGAATTCCATTTTGATTCTGTGGAGGCAGAATACGGGTAACGCTAACACATGTCCTGTACAACGTGAATCGTTCTTCCTTTGAGTCAGCTTGGCTCCCACACAAAAGTTCATTGGGAAGAATCAGTCTGACCTATAGTAGGTAATTTTCAAACATGTATAATTTGGGTGTTTTACTAGCTTCTGAAATATTTTTGAGTCTACTAGCTGATACTAAAGGTTTGACAAACTACTTGAAGTTTAAGAATTGGCACACCCTTGAGATTTCTGTAGCCATTGTGGTTAGATTTACTTTATTAGTAGTAGTAGTCCTGTTTTAGTAAAGAAGATTTATGACTGTTCACTGAATGGCCTAGCTGTTAATGAAGTCTGCCTGCTTGAAGGCTAATCTGTTCCTCTCTGTCCTCCTGTTGTTTAAAGTGACCGAAGAGAAACTGTCTTGAGCAACTATATTGCAATTAACTCTATTTAATGAAATCCCAAGCTATGCATGCATGTAGCTGTTTTAACCTAAGGGAAAACTCAGTTACTACTTTGGTCTAGCCAATGTTTTGAAAATGAAGGAACAACTATTCAAATGCAGTAACCTGTTGGTTAGGAGGTCTATGAATTAGAAATTAAATACATGCAATAATTTTATAGAAATCAATGTGTTTTTAACCTTGTAATTGGCAATGATCTCACAAGTGTTCTTTAATTAGATCTTATATGATATTTCAGCATGTAAATTGTCAGTAGCCATCTTGACGTTTGTCATGTTTTGTTATTTTTGTTTTGTTGGGTCTCTTGGAAATTTAACTGTAGCTTCATTTTGGCTTGTAATGTGCCCCATCAACTAGTGGCACAAAGACAAATGCCATTGTTACGATCCTTGATGAGCTCCCCAACCAGGACACCCAACTTTGGATCCTTTATAGCAGTCTGGTGCAGTTCTGTTGCCCCATCTCAAAAAAGATATATTTGAATTGGAAAAGGTACAGAGAAGGGCAACAAAAATGATTAAGGGTATGAAACAGCTTCCATATGAAGAGAGATTTCAAAGACTGCGACTTTTCAGCTTGGAATAGAGATGAGTAAGGGAAGGTAAGATAGAGATCTATAAAATCATGAATGGTGTGGAGAAAGTGAATAAGGACCAATTATGTGAAGGAGTAAATAACACAAACATTAATAGGCAGCAAGTTTGAAACAAAAGGAAGTACTTTTTCACACAACACACAGTCAATCTGTGAAACTCGTAGCCAGGGGATGTTGTGAAGGTCAAAACAATAATGGGGTTCAAAAAAAGAATTAGATACGTTCATGGATGATAGGTTCATCAGTGGCTATTACCTAAGATAGTCAAGGATGCAACCTCATGGTCTGGTTGTCCCTAGCCTTCTGTTCATTCCCTCTGGGACACCTGGCATTGGCCACTGTTGGAAGACAGAATACTGGACTAGACGGACCGTTGATCGGACCCAGTATGGCCATTCTTATTTTTTTATGTCCCACATGCTCTTGGCCTTTTGAGGCTGGGTAGAGTTGTGACACACTGCCTCTAGAGGCCCAGAGCCATACACTCATACGCCAGGTGTGGATCCCGTGCCTGACACCCCTCTTGGCAGTGGGGACCCCATCGTCCAATTGCTTAGGCCCAGAAACTAGCACCAGACTCCCAAATAGTTGCATGCGTCTATAGATCCACTGAAGCTGTGAACCCTCTGGCTTCCTATTTCCCTCTTCAGGGACTATGTGACAGTGAAAGCAAGTAATACAGACTCTGCAAAGGGATTTCTAAGCACACACACTTTACATTGAGATAGCACAAGAGATATTCAGATCTACAAAAAAACAACAAACCCAGCATGCAAATCCCTGCCTCAGTTTCTCTACCACTCGAAGAGCCCTTTACAATTTGGTCAGTGTCTTTTCAGGGAATCCAGAATTCCTCCTCACCTCATCCTGCTCAGCCTTGACTGCTTCTGGTCCTGGTCTGTTCCCTGTCCCCCTTTCCCCCTCTAAAGTAACTGCAGTCCTGTTTGTCAGGTAACTTTCCTCCGTGACTTCAAGTCCCTTATCAGGGACTGTGGTTACCAGCTCACCTAGTTGAACTGATTCCTTTGGCTGCAGCTAACTCATTGTCTCAAGGTGCTTGCATGTGAATAGGAAACAACCCTTGATTGCGCTGTATTGTTAGACCTCTGCGAACACTTCTTGGAATTCCAGTCCAAGATGGAGGTAAAAAACAGTTTTACAATCAAAATGGCATTCACAAAAGCAAAATGGAGGTTGTAGTTTCATACAGACATACATGAATCCATAACAGCCATCCATCTGTTTTTGTAAGTTATTCAATAATTAACACAGAAAGAGTAGAGGCAAGGATAAAAAAAATTACTACAGATGCTCCCCCTTTTCCGCCCCTGGGCAAAACCCAACAACAAATCACTTATGAAGTGCAGACCATACATGAGAACTGATATATATATATATACTGAAACATGTTCTTTCAGATAAAATATTGGGATTCATGGATGTATATTTAAGTTTATGTATTAATATGTGTTTTATAGATAGTATAGTCACTAGGTCCAAAAATTTCTGTACAAAGAACACTGAACAAAAAAAAAAGTATAATTTTCATTATAAGGTTAAAATATTTCAAGATCTGAGAAACAATTAATTGTAATTTACACAAATTCTGTTAGGAATCATTTTTTTCCTACTAGTATTTCTCTGCTTTTTTTGTTCCAAGGCTCAAAACACTAGTTTATGTTTCATTCTTTCACCTTGATTTGTAACTGTGATATCTTTTAGCACCAATGGGAGAAAACAAGAATTAAAAGCAGCTAATCAAACATACATCTTTGTTACATAACACATATTTTCTTCTTTTTACAGAAAGAATGCAACACTGACAAGAAACAGGTTAAAGAATATTTATGAACAGCATCCTTTCAGAAGCCTCGATTCAGGACAGCATTTAAGCATGTGCTTAAGTACCACTGACTTTAAGCACATGTTTAAAGTTAAGTACATACTTAAGTGTGGTCCTGAGGAGAGCTACTTTCCTGAATTGGGGGCCAAACCAATATGGAAAATAATTTAATTACACATCTTTCTAAAATCCTCCCCTTGGTTGTACTCATGCAAGCCCTTGGATGAGATTGCATGGATCTAACTAAGAAGAATTTGGGGCACTGGGTCTGCATAATCAGTCTGATATTTTAGAATTTCAAAATGCCTGATAGTTTTAATACTGAAGTCATGTCATTTTCATTTAGTCCTTATGCAGACAATCTGGAAAACTCGCCTTAATGGGATGATTAACAAAATTTCAGTATCTGGCATACAATATTTCTGATGCATAAATTGTATTATCACCTACAAGCCATTTTCTGTTCTTTCCCCTTTAGCTCATCCGTGGTACATGTGCCTGGTGTGAACGATATCCAGTCCTCTTCTTCAACAGGCCAAAATTTGACACAGATCTCTCGTCAGTTAAATCAGAGTCAGGTTGCCTGGACGGGGAGTCGTCCACCATTTCCAGGACAGGTGTGTGTTTGATTAAGGGGTTTTTAAGTGCACTCTAGTGAAGCAGATTTTACAAAAAGAACAAATCAAACTCCCTGGTTAAAATTTGGTAAAATGTACCTTTTATAAAAACAACAAGGAGTCCGGTGGCATCTTAAAGACTAACAGTCTTTCTATCTGTTAGTCTTTAAGGTGCCACCAGACTCCTTGTTGTTTTTGTGGATACAGACTAACACGGCTATCTCCTGATACTTTTATATTGCTTAAAAAAAGGGGGGGGGGGGGTAATAAATCAGAAACGGAGGAACTGATTTCATCTGGTAAAAATAGAAAAGGTCAAGGTTGGATGCTCCTTTGCATAATTCTGAAGGAAAAATAGGGTTGTTTGGTCAAATATTTTTGTGTGTATGTATACATACATGACCCCCACAGAAATCCCACTTTAATCCTCATTCCTGTATAGATCTGTGTTTTAAGTGAAATCAACAGGACTATGCACAGTTAAGTTTGGGCATTAAGTTTCTGCTGAACAGAGGCCTAAATGGGTATGTCTACATTGCAACTGGGAGCAAGCCTCCCAGCCCGGGTAGACAGACTCTCGCTATCTTTGCTCAGGCTAGCACACTAAAAATAGTAGTGTGGACGTTGCAACTCAGACGAAGACTCGGGCTAGCCACCTGAGCTCAGACCCAGGGGCCAGGTGGGCTTGAGAGCCCAACCTGCCACCCGAACCACAGTCCACACTGCTATTTGAGTCTGTTTACCCAGGCTGGGAGGCTCCCAGTTAAAATACAGGCATACTAATGTGCCCAACTCTGCCATACAAAGCCTGTAGTACATACTGTATTCAGATCACTTATCATTCTCAGTACTACACAGAAGCCCATGTGTTAAGGACTGAGTAGCAACCCAATCATTAAATGCTCTTGTTTTAAACTGTTTAAATAAGACTATTATTAATACTACTTTAATAATAATTGTTTACATTCAATTTTCTTATATAGTCTATAAAGGCACTTTAAGGTATTCATTCAATCATTTTACCAGCAGCTTAATTATTTTTATATTCGTTTCCTAGTTTCTCACACAGGCTGACCAGTCCTCAGTTTACATCAATTACTTTGCCATATCTATTCCATATCCTAAAGAAATCAAATTGAAATAATATTTTGACATATTTTCATTTGTACACTGGATAGAAGGGGCATTAATGATTACTGATCAAAAATGTGACATCTCCCCTTAACCTAAACCATCAAAGACAAGTCTGATTTAGGTTAAGGGGAGATGGTCAAGTCTGCATCACCAGAGTACAAATTTAGGGAACTCAGGAAAAAATCAATAAAATCTTCCAGGAGACTGCTGTCATTGTCATTGTGGGAACCTTCAAAGCTAAGTTACTTCTTAGCTAGGAACTAAACTGAAGACTTGTATTTTCATCATGTTGTTTGCCTGTTGGGATCTATTTTCCCCCCTCATTCCCCAAGAGAATAGCTGCACTTCAGTGCATTGATTGCCTATAAGATGCACATCATTAAATGTATCTAGAGATGTTACTGCTTTTAATTTCAAAGAGCAGAACTTGTTAAATACCAGTCTTCTGTAGAGCTGTTGGGCTGGTTGATAGGGGAAAAGGGAATGCGTTGTTGGTAAGTGGGTTTTATTACTGGCGCTATCTGCTAATGTATTTTGTTACTTTGAGCGAGACACTTACCCGCTTCTTGTCTCATTTTACCCATCTCACAGGGGTGTTGTACTATTTAATTATTTGTAACCTACTTTGAGATCCTTTGACGTCATTATAGAAGTGTAAAGTGTTATTGTTCTTGATTTAACTGAACCACCCCTTTTAAGCAAAGTTTGGTTATTTTTCCCCTGCGCTAGTAGTGCTGGGCACCCCCACCAAGTCTCTCGTGCAATTGCTGACTGCTTGCCTAAGGCAAGCTAGAACATATTCATTGTGCTTCTGGTATCCATTGGGCAAACTGGTTTGCATACGCTAAAATCAGGTGAGAAAACCCAGCGGGCGTTTCAACCTGTGTGGAGATCAGAACATTCCCTTTGAAGCCTCTTGTGCCAGCTCTCCCAATTATCGAAAATCCTGATTATCCTAAGGTCCGAGGTATATCCTACCAGGCATTCAGATAACTGGGGTAGTATAAAAACAGGGCATCTGGCAAATAAAGATTCATTTTTTGTACGTCTTTAATCTTTGCTCCTAGTCTCTATGCCCTAATAGCAGTGGGGGAAAAACAGCTTACAGCAGGTAACGAACAATAGTGATTTGATTCTCTTTCTGAATGCATGGAGGATATTAATCATCAGGAGAGCTATTTATATTTTCAGTTATCTGTTGCTTTCATTAAACTTAAATAGCTGTACGTCCACTTTGATGGAAATTGAATATGGCTGAGACAGGGATAATATGCCTAATCTCATTTGCAGTGTTTATTTAGCAGTTGATTTTACACTGTTAAAACGGGTCTATCATGCTGCTCTGCTGTAATGCCAGCAATGAAAATAACTTCTTCTTTTTCTCGCCCCCACCTCAGCAAATCCCATCACAATCTGGCAAGACGCAATCATCACCCTTTGGAATTGGAACCAGTCATACCTATCCAGCTGATCCATCATCGTACAGCCCTCTCTCTAGCCCAGCCACTTCTTCCCCAAGTGGAAATGCCTACTCTAGCCTAGCAAACAGAGGTGCAGGGTTTGGTAGGTTTCAGATTCTGTATCTCACAAGTGAACATGGAAGTGAAATGCTAACTGTATTTTAAATCTTCGGACCTGCTCCTCTATTCTGAATGTGTGCCAAGGTTGAGATTGTCTCTGCCCTTGTGTGGGTGTGTAGGGATTGCCAGGAAGGCAAAAGAGAGGAAGCAAAGCTTCTTACTACTTTGCGCAATGGATTGAGTTCAGGGACCCCTCCCTCCACGCTGCACTCCCTTCCTGAGGTAAAATCCCTCCCAAACTTCCTTTTGGGTGGCTCAGCTCCACTCTACTCTAATTCAGAACAGTCCCAAAATGGCACAATCCAGAACAGGGACTTTTTTTAAACCCACCTGAATGTGTGAAATTGTGTCCTGTCACTGCCGTGTCACTGCTCCTGTCCCAGGATACTTAATCATTGCTTATTCTGTGCAGATAACCTCTGTCACCCTCACTCTCAGTCACACGCAGACAATTACCTTTGCTATTCCTACTGTGAGGTTAAACAATTCCCTTTTTAAACAGCTGGGTGTGTTTCAGTGTGTTTCTGAGCAGAACACTTCACATTCACTAGGACTAATGTTAATGTGAATTTTCTCAGCAACTGTCTAAAGTAGAACATGGCAATAGTCCATTTCTTGTTTTTATTGTCGCAGGAGATAGTAATCAATAAAAGGTCAAATCCTAATGTCTTTCCTCATTACTTCTATTTACCCAGGCAACACTCCACTGACTTCAAGCTTTCAAATTAAATCAGTAGATTTCTTTCCCCTCTGAGTAAGACATGGGTAAGAATTGAGTTAGACACATTAGGATTTGGCCCTATGGGATATGTTCAGGAGCTAAGATATGACCATAGCTTTGGAATGTGTATTAGGCTACGTCTTCACTACCCGCCGATCCGGCGGGTAGCAATCGGTTTATCGGGGATCGACTTACCGCGTCTCGTGAGGACGCGGTAAAATCGATCCCTGATCGCTCTGCCGTCGACTCCGGAAATCCACCTCGACAAGAGACGGCAGCGGAGTCGGCGGCAGCGCGGCAGCGGTCGGCTTTCCCCCGTCCTCACCACCGGGTAAGCCGACCTAAAATACGCAACTTCAGCTACGGTATTCACGTAGCTGAAGTTGCGTATCTTAGGTCGGAACACCGCTGTAGTGTAGACCTAGCCTTAGAGAAAAGGTATAGCAAGGGCACCTCGAATTCCGCCTGGACAGGATTATATCATCATCAGACAGACATTGATTCATTTAAAAAAAAAAAAAAAAATTCTGTGATTGAAGAAGATTAGAATTTAGTCCAAGAATATGAAATAGTGTAGAATGTGTGGTAAGGACTTGTATGCTTTCTTTATTGCAGCCTTCCCTATTTCAATAACAACAATTTCGTGGTGTTGTTTTAATTACTAATTAAGAACATAGAACTGGAAGCAGTCTCCTCGGTCATCAAGTCTAGCCCCCTACCCTCACGGGCAACTGCATTAGATAACCCGTTCATAAACTGATCAAGCTCCGTATTAAAACCAGTTAGGTTTCTTGCCTCCACCCACCTATTGGGAGATGGTTCCAGAATCTCACTACTCTGATGGTTAGTAACCTTCTAATTTCTACCGAAATTCACTTATGGCCAGTGTAGATCTCTTTATTCTTGTGCCAACATTGTTGTTTAGCTGAGATAGCTCTTGTCTCTGCTTGGCGCTTGTTCCAGTGTATTTATAGAGAGCAATTGTATCTCCTCTCAGCCTTCGTTGTGCTAGGCTAAACAAGCCCAGCTCCTTTAGTCTCCTATCATGAGAGAGACTCCAATCCCCTGATCATCCTACTGGCCCTTCTCTGTACCTGTTGCAGTTTGATTATTTTTTATTATAATGGAATGATCCTGTACATGGAGAATTAGAAGCACTTTATTGTACATTTGGTCATCTATCAAAGCTATGTTTACATACAGTCAGTGGAGTTGCATGACACAGATGGAAGACAGAATTGTTGTGTTTATATTTAAAAACAAATAAAAAAGAATGAGTAAAGATATTAATGCAAATCCTTTCTCAGATCTCACTACATTGTTGTGCGATATGCTACCTGTTATAGAATGCCTGGAAGGCTCTATGTCTGTAATTTTAAGATGGTAATGTATGCTGGTAATCAGGCCTCACATGTGTTTTATACTTTGTAAAAAATTAAATCTGAAAAAATCCAAGTGCACATTGTACATCCTGCTTCAGGAGCATGAGTAGCATTAGCAGTGTCTTTGAAAGGGCCAGCACCTGTACACCTTTACAGCATGAAAAACGTTAGTGTTTTAGAACTGCTCAACAGCACAGCAAAATCAACTTCTTGATATTTTTGGGGAGCTATCCAGCAATGTTATTGTTCATTGATTTATGCTCTTTCCTTCACAAGGTTCACGGGTTCAGCCCCGATGTTATAGACGTAGTTATTGGTAGCTGGAAGCCCTCACTTGAGCCTCATCGTGATCATACTTGGAGTGTGTGAAACTCCACAGCTGCTTACATTACTGCATGGATCATTAAGTAGAATGGTTAAGGATAATTGTGCTATTCACAGTGTCTTCAGTAAGTGTTCAGGTTATGCCTTTAGTACAGGCTGTTCCTGAGGGAGCGCTTGAACAGAAAAAAAAATCAGTACGTGAAATAAGAGCAAAAAAAATGAAATACGAACACTTCCCTATTCCCTTCTACCTATGCATGCACACACACCTTCTAAAACAATGGCCTCAATAGTAATCTGCCTACAAGACTGTATGTAGTCAGCTGTGGAAATGAGAGAGAATATAAAATTTGGATGGATGCTGAGGCTTAAGTTAAGGAATTCTGCAGCCAGCAAATGTAACAGCAACATTCCTAAATCCAGCATGACATGCTGGTTGTTCAGGACAGTCAGTGTGTGGTAGTGTGAGGTAGGCTGCCAGGAACAAAAGGTGAAGAAAGAGCACTCAGCTATCCTTGGCCAAGGTCATATAAAGTTTTATATAACACTAAGCAAAAGATTTAAAATCACATGGTGATCATAGTCAGTACCTTGTTTACATTAGGAGCTGATCCAAAACCTACTGAAGTCAGTGAAGGGGTCTTTCCACTGACTTCCGTGGGCTTTGGATCAAGCCCTTAATGCAGTGAGTTTAAAGAAAGTTCCACCCTGTTTCCTCAGCACCGTGTTCTGACTGTTCGAGAAACAAAATAAACATAATGGCTCATATTGCACTGAACTTAACATTGTCTACCCCTGGCAGATATGCCAGGAAGCAGGAGTAGCCATTTTCCCCTTACCACAGGTCTGAATGTTAAAACACTAATTTTTCTTTTTGCTCTTAATGCTAGATTATTCACTTTTTGCTTTTCACTCAACATTGTGAATGAAATTAGACCAGTTTCATTTCAAGCCCTTTTCACTCTTTAGGCCTCAGGCACTAGCATTATGCTGCCTGGCCTGGACTCAGCAGCAATGCAGCGGGATGTGTACACCAAAATGGCTAACTTCCCGTTGAGTTTATTCCATTGGGCTTTGTATGTTTGTTTATAAGACCTGCACTGGAGACCCAAACTACTTGGTAATGACCGTTCATCTGGTGGGAAGTATTTCCTGATCTCCATCAGTTTGAATTCTATTAATAAATACAGTTATTACTGAAAGGAGCAGCCTGAACTTTCTGCTGGAAGAGGGATAACTCAGTGGTTTGAGCATTGGCCGGCTAAACCCAGGGTTAAGAGTTCAATCCTTGAGAGGGCCACTTAGGAATCTGGGGCAAAATCAGTACTTGGTCCTACTAGTGAAGGCAGGGGGGCTGGACTCAATGACCTTTCAGGGTCCCTTCCAGTTCTATGAGATAGGTATATCTCCATATATTATTATTAACCTCTGTCTTGCTGAGCAAAAAGCTCATTTGCCTCACTGAGTACATTTTGGCATATCGTACTGAGCAAAACTGATGCAGCTTTCTTTTAAGGGGTAACTTAAATGAACTTTGTTGTGACCAATAGTGTGACTGCAGGATTTCTGAGTCAGCTGAATTGTTTGTAACAGTAATGTCAGCAGGGGAGTAGTAATTCTCCAGCCCAGATGTGACAGAAGCATGTCATTGCAGTTCATCAGTCTTCTGGAAAACTGCTTACCGTTTATACCAGAGTTGGTAGCTGGTAGTAGAGAGAGACTGGAGTCAAAGTGGAGGCATTTGTGATCTTCTACGTTATGGAGCAATGACTAACTGTGGAGTCAGGCACTTTGGCTACTCCCATGTGCCATTCTTTCCATTTTTCTGTGTGGAAATTTTGGTTTCTGGTTGTCAGGAGTCTAACCCAACGGGGCATGCAGAACCGCGTGCCTCTGCAGTAGTGGCTAGGAAGTTGGCCAGTGGTTCTGACCAGCAGTAACCTGATCTACCGGTGACCCCCAAATTTTGGATTTGTGTGTCTGAAGGCAAAAAGGCAAAAACAGAAGCAAAAAAAGGAAATGTTTTGGAAAAAAATTGTTTTAAGGTGTGCTAGAAACATTTTTAACTCACAGAACAAGACACGCAACACCCACTACTGAAAATAAACACCTGTGTTACTTCCTGTTAAAGGTGTAAAATGTAATCAAATAATTTCTAACTTTCAGTGGTTGGAACTAGCGAGGGGAGCATGAGAGAGGTGCCCTGGCATTGGGTGTAACAGGAGTGGCCTGAGGGCCCTTTAGAAAAATCCATGCTCATGAGCCCAGTCTGAGAAGAGACACCGACAGGTGGTCTGCAGAACCCACGCCCATGTCCCAGACAATACTGGAATAGAGGCCAGTCCATCCTAAAGAGAGTGGGGTCTGGAAAAAGAAATAGGAGGGGAGGGAAAGATGTGAGGACCACGGGGAAAAGAACTAGGTAGTCAATATAGGGGAGGGAGAGAGGGAGAGTCGGGAACAACATGAGCCAAGGAGGAAAAAGGGAGAGATGGGAGTCGGGGTAATAGAAGAGAATATTGAGTCAAAAAATGGAGGAAGCCAGGAATTGGGTAGGAAAAGTGAGAGAGCACTGGGGAGAGGAAGGGATAATAAAATAAAAGGAAGAGAAATACACAGGAATGAGATACGGTGTAAAGAGGACAGTGGGCAACAGAAGGAGAGAAAAAGAAAAGTCTAGAGGAAAGGAAGGGAAAGGAGAGAGCCAGACATGAGACACAGTTGTAGGGGTAAAATTGTTTTATTCATTGATTCTGTTCTCTGCATTGAAAAAAAAATATTTATGTATTTTTTGTACTTCCCTATAGGGGAAAAAAGCTAAGGGGAGGTGGGGTGTTTGGTGTGTGTGAGGAGGGTATCTGGGCTCACCATGGCTCAGGGCCTAAGTGAGGGGAGCAGGAGTACTGAGAATCACTGAACCGGAGGTGAGCTATGTTTTGTATGGCAAATGAACAGCGCAATTCTGCAGTTCTGAGACTAGAGCCGCATGAATTAAATAGCCGATTTACACCTATAATAATGGAGGACAAAGTAGCTCACCAACCAGCATTCTAAACACATGACTTTTACACTTAAATAAGACGGCACCTTTTTATCTTACTATTTAAATAGTCATGAAACAACAGATTTTTGTAAATGGGGTGCTGACATGCTGCCTTTGAATTATATAATCCATCAGATGACAGTGTTCCTTCTGGTTCAGCTCTTGATCCAAGAGTTTATTAAAGAGGAAGTACATTAAAATGCCTATCTTGTCATTCTGTTTTTAAGTGAAATGGCTGGTACTGTCTCGCACTATTAAAGAGAGAGGCAGGACTGGGGAAAACCCTGGCATGGCCAGATTAGGTTTCATTACACTCTTCATTATTTCACTTTGTGCTTTACTATTAGTAAGCATGTTGTCCTGGTTGTGTTGGTGCAGCCACGGTAATTCACCTTGCTCTCTTTGGTCATTATCTTGCTCCCTTGAGATCAGTGTTAAAACTCCCCTTGACTTCACTCCCACCGGAACTGGTCCTTGCTGAGTATCTGTGCTATAAAATTTACTTCTGAACATCAAAGTTCTCAAAAAACCTTCATGTGCCTTTTAAAGGAACTGTCTATGTAAATCTGAATCTTTCAGCTGAGAGTGGCCAAAGCAGTGGACAATTCCAAGGGAGACCTTCGGAGGTCTGGTCCCAGTGGCAAAGCCAGCATCATAATCAGCAAAGCAGTGACCAGCATTCTCACCAGCAGCCCAGTCAGACTGAAGTCTTCCAAGTGAGTAGAGTCAAAGGTTCATTGTGTCTACAGTTGTCACAAGAAAGTGAAGGTCTTCTTACCCGAACAACAACCTTAGCCAAACTGAGCCAGTGTAGAAACAGTGTGCATGACAAGCACCAACCTTCAGTTTGAGATGTGCTACCCTGGGGTTTATAGTGATGTTCGCTGGGATTAGGATAGTCTTTGCTAGAACTCAAAGCACTTTTTCTGCCAGAGCACAGGAACTTCTGGGCTTTGAAATGTTTTCTCCTTCTTCCTGCTTCCTCAGCACAAGGGCTATGCATTTTAGGGAGAAACCAGTAGGTAAACAGTCCTGGCTAGAAGTCCCTCCCCATACCCTGGTCCCGATCTATAAATCCAGCCAGTTAAACTTCGGTCTAATTCCGCTTGAGAAGTCAGAGGAGAGTAGGCTGTTTCTTCAGAGAAGATACTGACTAAAGATTTTTTAAATGCTCCAACTATTGAGAAACCATGTGAGTTGCAAATAACCATCTTCAGTTACATTTTACAGTTATATTTTGCAGTATTAATTACTGTTATAACTATTCATGGTAGATGAGCATGGTACTTTACAAGCAAATAAGCTGATATGGTCTTTTATCCCTTTATAATCTGTTTATGATTTAAATTCGATCAAGAACCAAACCAACAAAAGAGGAGGGTGGATAGTTGTATGCAAGGGAAAAGGGAAAGACATGTACACAAAAAGGGCCAGATTCATTGCAAGGCCTTCACCAATCTCTGGCACAGGGCCTCAACAGCAGAAGTTCCCCAAAGGAGATGGAGATTTCAGCAGCATAAGGCAGCTTCAGCTTCCCCTTCTCTGGGTGGCAGTGGGGGATGAAAGAGCCCCACAAGTGGCAAGTGCAGCATTAGAAATATGCAGCATTGGCCAGGAACACAGGGCTGGCCAAGGCAGCTGGGAAATGTGCTTCAGTCCATCCCATCATCTATTTCCACTCTAAGGGATCCAGCGAGTCCACAGTTAGATTTAAAGCTTGCCCTCTCCTGGGGTAAATCCTCATTACGGTGCTCTTAGATGAGGGTAGTTCATCCTCTTGAGGGCAGATGCTTTGAGCCAATTTGTTATCATGTTTCTTGTTTGCTATTTAGATGTTGTATTATTATGGTCCCTTTCTTGCTGCAAAGTCAAGTTCTGCCAGAGCTTGTTATTGTGAGAGCTGAAAGGACAGCATGATCGTTTTCCCAACAGGGGATACCTCTTTCCCAGGCTTTGTCCCAGACTGGGAAAAGGAGATTCAGTACTCCCTATGCCTCCTGCAGGGACCACATGTGACTCAGGAGATTTGGGAGCAGTTACCATGAACTCCTCTTATACCAGAGAAATGCTATCGACTTCCACTCCCTTTTCTGAAATACAAGGAGGCTCATTGACCTGGAGGAAAGACCTCCAGCATTCTTCAGCGGAGGTGCAGTCAGAATAAATGTAACCCCTGCTTACAGAATGCTGTTCAGGAGGAAGTGGATCCTCCACAAATGTGTGTTGGTACCAGCTACATAACAACAGAACTCTAATGGCGAGACTCCCTCCAATGCGCCCAGCATAGCATGTCAGAAAAGGTGCATGATCCAAATGGGGCTCAGTCATATTAAGAGACACACAAATCACATGATGATTAATGGCCACTGCTTGCTCATCACTTCCTTGGCTGTCTAGGTTGTGTGAAGGGTGGAAAGATGATGAGCCTGTGGAGGGCTGAACACCTCCTTAGCAGTGTTGAGCTTCTGCAACTTCCATTGACTTCAGTGAGGGATGAGGGTGCTCTGCCCTTCTCAGAAGGGTCTCAGAACGCTAGTGAGTCTTTCTGTTCCACAGCACGCATTCCCATCCTCTGCATAAAGGCCTTTAGTTGATTTTCCTTCATGCCACACTGAAGAATAACTGAGACATGTAGACAGAACCCACAAACACATGTTAAACCCCTTCATGTCTTGGTTTCATCAAGGGATCCATACTACCCATGCTGGGGAAGCGTCACCAGGAAAGGCAAAGCAGCACATGCCTTTGTGTGTACTCTCTGTTTTGGTTTGAAATGTCTAACTTGTTGCTGTCAACAGCCACCAGGAAGCAACTGCTACTCCAAATGGCATCCTTGCAGTAGGTGCTATGATTGTCTCTCAGTTGCTGATCCAGTATCTTAGCATATTATCACAAACGACCCGCTGTAACAAATGGTGTATGTTTAGATCGTGAAGAATGTGCAGTATGGGGGACAGTCAGACCTGTGCAGAGGCCAGCACAAAGCCTACACACTGCTTAAGTTCTGCTTCCGCCCTTGAAAGAGGACATAAGTGAGACTTAAACAGTGCAGAGGGCTCAGGCTAGCCGTCTGCATGGGGTGAATTTCACTTTGTTTTTCCAGTCTTTGGCCTTTTCTGGTCTTAAGCTAAAAAGATGAACAAAAAATGTTTGTCTCTCGATAGCATATAAAGTGACACTTCACTTTGATTTTCCTTATACAGGACATGCTGCCTATGCCGGGCGATCCAACACAGGGCACTGGAAATTACAACATTGAAGATTTTGCTGATTTGGGCATGTTTCCACCATTTTCTGAGTAATTTACAACGCAGACAAACTCTGTGAAATGAAGTTCAACAAAACCATTTCGGTGTGGTTTTGGCTCTGCTTTTCCTGTATTGCATTACCGTAGAATCTACTAACAAGAAGTCATGTTTCTCATATTTTGGATAGTGATATAGGAGTTTGCTCTCTCTCCCTTCTGGTGTGTGAGTGCTGATGAAGAAGTTACACCACTTGGTGGTGGTCATTGACAGATCCATTTTGTATTTTCTTGTCATCTACCTCAGAGATGAAAAACTTTGCTTGATTGTGAAAAATCTCTGAGTCCTAAATATTTGAATGTGAAAAATTCCTAATGCTCCCTTTGAATGGTAAATTTAAAATAGATAATGAAGTAACAAAGACTAACAGAGAAAAGGTAAGGTAACGTCCTGTTACAGGGTCTATTGTTCAGATTCAATGCCTTGCTTTGATCTTAAATCTCTGAAAACAGACTCAGTATTCTGATTTCTTTGATTCTTGAGATTTTTAGGTCAGTGTGAATGTGAGATTATACAGCATAATATAGTTCTCTCTGACCAGAAGATTCAGCACCTTTTTTCCCCTCTCTTAACCCAGTTAAACTTGAATATGTGTACATTTTAGTACTGTATGTATATCTTGTGCTGTATGATGTGATTTCCTGTATTGGTAGGGTTTGTTTTTTTTATACATATAAAATGGGTCCGTTTCAGAGTATACCGAAAGGGGTGACAATGTATTGCAGAACTTAGATATTGCAGGATTCTGCATCACTTTACTTATAAATAACACTAATTGGTTAATTCTGGTCATTCTGATTTATGTCATATAGTTACTTATGCAAGCTGTTATTCTTTTTTTCACTGAATTTATTAAGTGAGACCTATATTTCTATAATTTTCTCACTACCTGGTTTTATTTTATTTTTTGCCTTCTATTATTGCATCCCCCAAAAAATCCTTTTATAAAATTACTGTACAACATATCAAGAATACTGTTTCAGCACCAGCAGCATTTCCTGTCTGTGAACCCCCTTTATCTCTTGTGCAACATTACATTTTAACAGTTAAAAGAGGTGCCCTGTTACAACAGAGGCATCTAGGCTCATTTACTGAGAGCAGTGAGCTAGTTTGTTTCATGTGCCAAACAATGTGGTTAAAACTAATTTGTAATAGGAACCAACCAGTCAAGCCATTGTCTGCCAAAAACACTGTGGAGTTAACTTGAATTTTCACTTGCATGCTAAACTGCTGAGCATCCATCTACTTCTGTTAAACCCACTGTATGAGGGTTTCAATTCACTGGGCATTTTGGAGACTCAGGCCATCCAGAAGGGTGCATGCTTTTCCATGGCTCTGAGTCTTGCTGCCTGGCATATCCATCAGAAACTTCTAGAATTTCTGTTCCTTTATTTATTTTATCACATCAGTTGAGTTACAGAGATCTGATCTAAAATGAAGATTTAGGGCCAAATAGTCCCTGCTTGTGGGGGAAAAAAATCACCCCTGGACAAGAAACTCAAAATTCCCACTTGCTGAACTTCTTTGAAATTCTTTGTAGGTTGCAGCCCAGCCCCCTTGAAAAAGGGGAAGAGGGTCCAGCTGCCTAAACCTGTGGATGCCCTGGGATCCATGCAAATCTCTGGACACCTAAAAGAAGCAAGGGCCACCCACCTAGAGGCCTGGTGTCTCCACACATTGCCAGCCGACATGCTGCCATTGCCTGGCTACTTGAAGCTACCTCTGAATTCAGAGGTGTCTTCCAGCAGGGATGACTATTGGCATACACTGTGTCAGCATGGTCTTAGGTGCGTAATCACTGGGGGTTCCTTGGGTGGATGATGCCATGGAGAGCAGCCATCTCCCTAACTCATGGCCTGCTCTGGCCACATGGGTCTCATTCAGAGAGACTTCCACAGGCTGTCAGACCAAAGCTAGCGGGCCACAGAGACGCTGCTCCCAACCCTAATCATGTGACTGGGGCTTTTCTCACCCTACTCTGCTTTCTGGCATGTCACATAGTGGGGTAAGTGGTCTTCAATGTTCAGTGAGAGTTTTGCCTGCCGTTTGCCTCTTCGCTTCATTCTCCAGGACCAGTCCCCAGCCCTGTGTGCCACTGGAGGGATGGTTTGTGTATGTGTCTTTTTTGCTTGTGTTTTTTAATGAAAACTGAATCTAGTTCAAAGCTAGATAAAGAACTGCAGAGGCCCCAGATCTCTGGACTGTACTTGTCTCAGCAGAGTCATCCTGTTTTAAAAATGGGCACCTCTTCTCCTGCCCCAGGGGATGAGGGGAATACTCAGCTAGCTGAGGAAACCATGCACTTAAACTATATTTATTTTAATACCTGGATATTGATTCTCTTGAAGCTGCCCCTGCTGCCCTTCACTCCCATCTCACACACACTGCATGGACAAAGAACTGATCAGTGAGTTAGACTAGAAAAGCTCTGCTCCCTGTAGTGAGCATATCCATTGAATTCACTGACCCCCCCATAAAAGATACCTGTATTCTACACATGGCTGTGTGGGTGAAGTGAGACATCTGTGCAATAGGGAATGATAGTAAAAGGAGAAGTAGATGATCCTGATTCTGTGACAGATCTAACAATGGGGGAAGAAGGGAGTGGCCCAGCAATTTATAGCTCTTTATATAATGCACTGGACATGATACAGTCAGTATTTTTTAAAATTTTTAAATGAAGATTTCTGTCAAGTGAAAAATGGATTGGAAAATGGGGTTCCTATGTTGCAGTCTACCTGACAGGTTGCTCTGCGTGTATGTATACTTTACTTGTTGTTCCTGAATTCAATCTAAAATAATGTGTTTATGAAAACTGTTTTTTCCAGCCCAGAAAAGTTTCTCTACATATCACTGTCTTTTTATACTATTGATGTGTAGAAGTAGGCTTATCAGTCAGTATTTGGTAGTACAGTTCGAAGTTCTTTGTTAAAAGATATTCAAGCATGTCTATTTTTTTAAAATACAGTATTACTAGTTTAAAGCCAGTGTGCCCAAGGCATCAGTGCTAGGTCTGTTTCTTGTCTTCTTCCTCCCCATCCCACTCCATCCTTGTGGCCACGAAAGGGAATTACTGTAGTATTAAAGGCCAGTCTAGAAGAGTGTAAGGCTTTCACCCACTTCACTTTGGGCCACAGTATGCCCCTGTTTGTATTCTGCTATCCTGGGCCAACGCTTTCTCCCTGTTTCTCCATTCTCCCTAGCTCCCCTCCAGCTGATCCCACCCACAGTATCTTGACATTGCTTTCCCTGTGTTGGAAGGGAAGATGTGGGTGATCTTTTCTGAGGGTGCTGTTACTTTCACGCCAGCAAGAAGGGAGTTCTTAAGGAGCATTATGACTGGCAACCTTATTCCTGAGACCAAGTGAATAGGCAAGTCTAGCATTCACTAGTGCTCCTAGGGCTCCTCTACAGTACGTGCTGCCTCCATGCCACTGGCTGGCTCTTCTGAAATATCTTTCTCATTCTAATTCTTGTGGCAGCAAAGGCTGTTTTAACATAAGTGAAGCTATATTCTTTGTTGTGTGTCTTGATGGTAATAAAACAACTTACATGTATAATGACTGAAGTTGCTAAGTGCATTTTAAAAGTGTCCTTTTTTATTTGTGCAGTTAGCATAACGCCTGTGGTAGGTCAGCTGCCAGCTTCCAGAGTTTGCAGATTTGACATGCAGATTGTTTTCTACCGGCAGACTTATGTTTTCTGATCAGATTTTATTGCAAACACAGTGTTTCTGAAATCAGTGCAAAATATAGAACTGAAGCTTTTTAAATCAAATGTGCAAGAAGCTACAAATGATAATGTAACAAGCTGAGTAAGTTACTTCAGCAAGTAAGCTTATAGACTGGGACCATTTTCGTATGCTGAGGCATTTACTTATTCGTTCATATAATCAAGCCTGTTTCCTGACATTAAGTATTTTACAGGAATGATTGTATTGTGTAACTTGTTAAAGGCACCACTGACAGTGCCTACAATTATACTTTAACCAGATGTGTCCATAACTAGCTTTGTTGCCTTCTTTTTCATGAAGCCCAGTCTGAAACTGTAAATACTTTTTGCAGTACTGCCTTTTTTAACTCCTAATTACTTTTGGCACAGTGTTATATAGTGTTGGATTTACCCAATTGCTATAACATATATTTTTATACATAGGCGTACTCTTTTTCGAGAGTAATACAGCCATTTAATCATTAATGCCTTATCGGTGTCATACTGCTGTTGCTCTTTGGTTGGTTGGTTTGCAAGGTATCCAGTGGGTTAATTTTTAGGTCAGATATTTTCATATTCATAGCAGTGCTCAAATTGGGATATAGGTGATTGTGCGGTAGCCCCAGTTTTCACTGTTGCCAATTGTGGAGAGGAAGGGGAATGTATTCCAAAATGGGGAAAAGAGTGGGGCGTACCATGACATTTATGGGAGCACTCTCCTACTCCAAACTTGAGCACGTTTTCATGGGTTGACAGCTACATGGATATGGACCAGTTTGCTTAGAGTCATGATCTTTTTTTTAAAGATAATAAATGCCAAAAAAAGGCTTCTGTTGTCAAGTTAGGCACTTGGTTACTTATCTGTTTAAACTCTTTATATTGCTGTGAAATTGTGCTGTGGATAAAGTGTATTTTGTACTTCTGAATGTTCTATATTTATGACTAACAGTTACGGAATCAGTTGTGTGTATGTATATCTAATAACTGACTTTTTAAATTTCATTAAAATAAAAATGTCATGAGCTGTTATTAATTCATGTCATTATATAAGTAACTGTGATACACTGCTGGCACAAACAGAAGGTTATGATACATCCGGAGCTTTGATATTCATGCTTACAAATCAGATCTTGGTTTTGTAATGCTCAGTATAGAAACACATTTCCACATTTCATAATCCTAGATCGAGAAGACTTAAGCATGTCTTCCTTACATAAATATTGGCCAAAAACTACATTTTTCAACCTGTTCTAGTTAAGCTGCTGCAACCTTCATAGAGGACTTTCTATTGCAAGGGACCCAGCACCAGTGTGAAATGAATCGAGCCCTTTGTGTCTTATACATACTTCAGTCTCCCATAGTCTATTCTCTTTCTTTATGAACAGGTTGGTTAAGCAAGGCTCAGAGTTTGTTTGTGCACGAGGGAGCTGAGCAGTGGGTTAATATAGTCATGAACCTTTCGAAAATCATTTGATGCTCATTTTTGTCTAAGAGGATGAGATGGCTCAAGAGATTGGTAATGGGGGTTACAGAAACTTATATCTCTCTCTGAGCTGGTCTGCACTGGGGGGGGTCGATGTAAGATACGCAACTTCAGCTACGGGAATAGCGTAGCTGAAGTCGACGTATCTTATTTCAACTTACCTCCCATCCTCATGGTGCGGGATCAACGGCTGCGGCTCCCCCGTTGACTCCGCTACCGCCGCTTGCCCTGGTGGAGTTCCGGAGTCGACGGGAGCGCGTTCGGGGATCGATATATCGCGTCTAGACGAGACGCGATATATCGATCCCCGATAGATCGATCGCTACCCGCCGATCCGGTGGGTAGTCTGGACGTACCCTCTGAGTCACTAGTGCTCTAGCAGTCCAGGTCAGCATTATAATGAGCAAAAGTTGTGACCATCAGATGGCTGTTCAGCGGGCTTTGTGAAATGAGTTTGGTGATCTCAGTACAATCCCCAATGGGCCAGTGTCCAAACATCTCAACCACAACTGTCATTGCCTGGCCCTTTGGTTCACCAGAGAAAACAAGAAGTGTATACAGAATTACCCTCTCACCACTTGGGCGGTCATCCCATGCTAGTGCTGGGGCATGTTGGTGGGTCAGCATAGAGAAGGGGAACTTGCATTGCCACTGCCTGTGTTATACCTGTTCTGAGGAAGAAGTGTCAATAGGGGACCTTTCATGAGTGCGAAATTCACACATCAAAAAATGTTTGCTCAGTGCGATACATCACCTACTGTCATTTCTTAATGGGTTTACATAATTCTTAACAAATAGAAGTGCCTGGAAAGGAAACTTGCAAAAGGTATTTGCAACAATATCCTTGATAGTGGAAGTTCTTTGCTTTTATTCTTGGCTTCCTCGGTCAGCAGGGCTTTTATTTATGCATGTTCAGAATGTTTGCTCAGGAAGTGTTAGTAATGGATTTAGGGTGGAATTTTTGAAAGCATCTAAGAGAATTAGGCACCAACGGGAGTTGGAACCCAAAGCCCCTTAAGTGCTTTTGAACATTCCACTGTTAATCATTTTCGAGCATAGGCGTGATGAATGGAGTACTTGGAATGAACGGGTAAGCAAGCGGAGTCTGGTGTGGTTCAATTTTCCAATAGTACCGCAGTAGCACTGATTTGGTTTTAAATGATATTCATTTGAAGGGGTAATATAATCCACATTCTTGTTGGTTTAATAAGATTAGTTGGTCAGAATACAGTACTACCAAAACTTCCAAACCTGACTCCCAAACTCATATTTAGACACCTAAATACAAGTGGCCTGATTTTCACAGTTCCATCAATATTGGTGTCATGTTTCAGGAAATATTAGTCCGTCGGGTTCCTCATTCTCTTCTCCGAATTGGGTGTAACTGAGACAACGGGTGAATTCCTCCATCCTGTATGCACCAGTAGTCTGAGCACCTTCCTGGTAGGGAATTATGTGGCAGCATCTTTCTACAAGCCTCTGATTCTGTCCTAGGTCAAATAAAATTGAATCATTTGAACTGTATTAATGGATTTTGGATCAAACCCAGAGGTTGATAGGGCATCCTTTCATTAACTCTATGGAAAAATTACTATCTAATTGTGGACTGACACTAAACACTGGTAAAATACAAAATGTGCCAGTTTTTTTAATTGTCAATCAAAGGCCCACACACACACAACACACACACAATGCACAAATGCAGGAGTGCAATAACCATTATTGCTGCAGCAAAATGTAGAGGTCTAAGTATCTGACTGTGTGCACATTGCAGCCACGGTTTGCATGTGCAAATAAAAAAATAAAGCTGCTGTTTAGAACTGTGTCCCAACATACATATCCTGTATAGGAAACCCCCTTGTCCCAAGTTAGCTTTTGCGGGTAGAAGGTGTTTCTATCCTAATGCTTATCACAGATTCCCATTTTCAGCTAAGAATGTAGCTTTTAAATAACTGCAACACCCTCAAAAACCAGATAGGTTTAAATAATTAAGAGAAAAGTTTGGAGAAGTTGAATTTGTTTGGTGCACCCGACCATCCCCCCCAAATTGTGAGCGGTTCACAACATTTTTAACCCCATCAGGGTTGCCCATCCCTGCTTGCTACTGCCCTCTTCTCCTTGCTCATGGTCCAAAACAGTTAGTTCCATGTATGGCCTAACAGGCAGGTAGCTTTTGGACTTCAAAATAAAATCATAGTATAGTATTTTCCACTTAAATCTGGAATTGCTGGCTAGACAGTGAGATGCATTATCTCTAAGGAACAAACCTTTCTAAGGCCTCTGCTACTGCTGTGTTTGTGTGGCCAAGCAAATGGCTGAGACCACTGGCTTGCAAAATAAACTTACAGGACAAAGTCTCCCACCGACATAGGCACAACCCACATTGCCTTCAGAGCATGTATCTGAGGGCAGAAATTGGCTCATCATACTTTCAAACATACTTAGAAAAGGAATTAGTGGAATTTATGCCAAAGTCAGACCTCCTCTCCTCCTTCAAAACTCTCTCACTTCACGTACCTTTCAACTTACCTAGGCCTAAATGTGGGACAGTGTGTGGCAAAGACCCAAATTGAGGGATACAAAAAATTTACAAGGGCAACAGACCTTAAATGTTGTGGGATTCCTTCCTTAGTGTCAAATGGTTGCTCGCTCTGTCTCATCTCAGGCTACATCTACACTACTAGCTAGGGCATTACCCCCTTGGCTAGTAGTGTATACGTAGCCTTAGTGTCGTCGTTCTTTATTTCTGGTGTAAACAGTTCTCAAACCATAGAAGCCAGTGGACACCAAGTTTGTGTGGAACTTGTGGACCATATTAAGTGAAGTTCCTTGAAATGAGGGATGCTTCAGAGGTATCTCACGCCATCCCTTCGCTGTCTGCCTTCCTCCCCAGCTACATGGAGAGAGATTCAGTGAGTGAAGATGTGGAAGGCCCTTTGTGTGTGAGGGCAGGATAATAAGGAGCTTCCCACACTTTGCACACCTGGCTTGAGAGCCAATCACAATTGCAGCCTCTGCACTCATGGACATAAGATCGGCCATACTGGGTCAGACCAAAGGTCCATCTAGCCCGGTATCCTGTCTGCCGACAATGGCCAATGCAAGGTGCCCCAGGGGAATGAACAGAACAGGTAATCATCAAGTGATCCATTCCCTGTCGCTCCTTCCCAGCTTCTAGCAAACAGAGGCTAGGGACACCATCCCTGCCCATCCTGGCTAATAGCCATTGATGGCCCTATCCTCCATGAATGTACAGTATCTAGTTCTTTTTTGAACCCTGTTATAGTCGTGGCCTTCACAACATCCTCTGGCAAGGAGTTCCACAGGTTCACAAGGGCCTGACCCTCTCCATATGTGCTGTGGAGCACACATTGCTGCAAAGGGGGTGGCTAGAAGAAGAGGCCTCCTGCACCAGCTTGCAAAGCAGGGCAGCCACAATCCCTCGCTGAACTCTCCCAGGGGCAGTGTGGCTCTGCCCTGCCCCCAATGCCTTACAACAGGGTTTTTCAAACAGGGGTCGCCGCTTGTGTAGGGAAAGTCCCTGGCGGGCCGGGCTGGTTTGTTTACCTGCCCCGTCCGCAGGTACGGCCGATCACGGCTCCCACTGGCTGCGGATCGCTGCTCCGGGCCAATGGGAGCTGCTGGAAGCAGCACGGGCCAAGGGACTTACTGGCCGCCACTTCCAGCAACTCCCATTGGCCCAGAGCAGCGATCCGCAGCCAGTGAGAGCCACGATCGGCCGGACCTGCGGACTGGGCAGGTAAACAAACCGGCCTGGCCCGCCAGGGGCTTTCCCTACACAAGCGGCGACCCCTGTTTGAGAAACCCTGCTTTACAAGGTCCAACTAATGACAGCCTCTCTCTCGCTGATGCCCAAGCACTGGAGCCATAATGATTGGCCTTTCCAATCAGCTGGGACTTATCCCAGGTGGCTTCCTCTAATAAACAGCACTTGATCATCAAACTCAGCCCCTGAATATTCACACCCAGCCTTAAAAAGAAAAAAGTTTCCCCTTTTACTGAAGGATTTCAGGCCCAAAATGTTCAAGTGAAACAGGGCAGGCTCTTGTTCCAGACAGCCCCAATGCTAGAGGATTAAGGGTCTGCAAAGAAAGTTTCTCATAAAGGATTTATTTTGTTTCACTTTAGTTTATTACATTTTTCAACTTCTAAAAAATGGCCTGAAGGGCGCATTTAAAATGATGAAATGCCTGCAAAAAACTTTATTTACTGAGAATCTAAAAAGAAAGATCAAAATGGTACAATGCCATTAAATTATAATTCTATTGATTACATGAAGGTGCTTAAATTAAAGCGGTACGGAGATAGAATTTGTTCAGCTTCTTAACATATTCTTCATGGCCTTCGTGGTCTGAAGTCAGTGACCTAATTTGGGAGTTAATTAATATTGTTGCTTCAAATTATTTTCGTTCTAAATATTCATCAGATTATGTTAGTTGACCTAAATTTGCAGATCCTGCTGAGGGACTGGGGTTCTGTGCTGACCTACCAAATCTGACCTGGATATATCTTT